TGTAGCTAAAAACGGAACGGAACACTCAATTCTAGTGAGAAATCCGATCCGTCATTCCGATCCGTGCTCAATGGGACTGCACCCTAACGGCACTGGATCTCCATTACCGCACATGCGCAGAGCTGCTCATGCGCATACAACCGGTCCCTAATTAAAACACTGTTTGACCAGGTGTACGTAACTTGCGCATGTGCGGTATTTCCTCTCTCATGCTGTTTGCGTCTCAAATCTGGCGTCACTGGTCTCACGAGCAGGGATGTTTTTTGCAGCACAATTGTACTATTTTAGTACAATTCATTAAATCTTAGTACTCAGTACTTCTTTACAATATTTTGTACTGATTATCAGTACATTTTCAGTTCAACGTACAAATCAGTACAATTTTATAAGTATAACTTAGTAATTTAATTTTTTTTACATTCTATAACCTTTAGGGCCTATCCAGACAAACTTGCGTAGACGTATAAACATATACATATATACATAAAATATAAGGTAATCGATTACGAAACATTTTCTGTAAAAAAAATGATCAAAGGTACAAATAGCAACAACGCGTTCGAGCAAGAAGTCAAAATATAATGCGATTTATTTGACGGATGTGATAATGACTGCGATCAGTTATAATAAAAAAAATACGGGTTCTGTTTTTATTATTTTACTTTATCTTGATATGTAATAATGTTGAATGCGCCCATTAGCGCAAATTTTTATTGATCGAAAGATTAATGTTGAATTGTTTTATCATTATAAATTAATAACGCGAATTTTTGTCTGTAATTTGTTGGATTATTATAAATTAATAATGTGTTTCTAAAGTTTATTTTAAAGTTATATGAATAAAAAAGCGATGAAAATTTGTTTATTTTAAAATTAACACTAAATTGTTGTGTTATGAATTAATAACATTTTAATGTTTATTTGTCCTAAGATTACTGCCAAATTGTCGTGTTAACACAAATTAATAATGTAAGTTGTTGTTCATCCAAAGATTAACGACAAAATATCGTATTGTTATATGCAAAAAGCAGATGTTTATTTATGTTAGAATTAATATAAAATGGTTGTGCTACTATAAATTATAAATTATAGGGTCTTAAATAATAATAAAATTCACATTAATATGAAATTTCTATACATTCCAATAAAATAAAAATTCTTGCAAAGTGCATTTATAAATACCAATTTGTAATAAAAATATAGAAAAATAACTTTTATTGTTTATTTATCTATTTTATTTGTAATAATAAATTATAATGCATATTTTATGTAAACAATCAAGTAATCACAGTTAGGGCAATTTAAATATCCCGCCAATTCATGATTAATATGAATGCAGTATAGGTAGCGCGTGTAGTCAGTACAATTCAGTACAAAATTGCCCTCAAATCTAGTACACATTCTCCTTCTCCGAGGAACATCCCTGCTCACGAGCAGTTATTACGGCGTAGTTGTATACTTTGACGGTTCATACATTTTGAGAAGGTTAGTGCGGGTATTTGTTTTTATTACTTTTGTGTTTAATAGAAAATATTCAAAGTGTCTTCTTAGATAAAATCATAATATATGTTTCTTTGTAATTATAGGAATAAATAGCGCCCTACACGGGCGCTTATGTGTGTCTAGTAATATAAATATAAAAGATTATAAAAATTATTCTCGGTTCTGGTGTCTTTTACGGAAACACGAATTTGAAGAAAATAACAAAGTTTTAAAAAGTATAGTGGCTTATATAATATATTTCAAAAAAAAAGATGCGAAATACACAAAAATTATTCTATTTTCACTATTTTTTTATCAGGATTTTTAGGTTATATTATGTTTCCTTGGTCATTTTTTAATATACTATATAAAACATCTACTTTTTAAAACTATTTTTTTCAAACACATGTTTCTGTAAACGACACCAGTTTCTTATTCTTTATTACTCTCATAATTTGTTTTCTTTAGATTACAAGCTACATTAAATTTGTATATAAGACAAAGAAATTTGTATATAATACAAAGATAAAATATAAAAAATGCCACAAGGAAAGCTCAAAGTTAAAACAAAATTGCCAACATCAGTAAAAGCAAAGGCCAGTAAAGCCAAGAAAAGCACTAAAAGACGTGGAAGTAAGTATAAGATAAAATATTATTAATATTAAAATTAATAATATATGCTGTTTTTGATTTTCTTAAAGATGCTCCAGTTCAACCTAAAAAGACAAGGTCTCAAGAGACACAAAAGTTAAAGAAGATGATTGCCAAAACAGTGAACAATGCAATGGAAAATGAATTACGAGAGAAAGCCTTAGAGGGAAGGAAAACACTTACAAAGAAAGGTCCTTCTAACTCGCAAAAGTAACATTATTATATATATTCTCTTATATTTTTATGTACTAAAATATTGTACATATTAAGGCAACAGTGTTATTCTCTATTTGAAGTTGTTTCCATTTATATAATATGGAGTACAAAATTCTTATTTTTAAATTTGTTTTTAACATAAACACTTTTAATGTTAACTTTGTTAATAAGAAGCAGAGAAAGAGAAGAGAGAAATAAATATCTGTTATACTTGCAAAATGAGTTTTATTTGGACAAAGACCTTAGGAATATATTAGTTTTGAACTCTTAAAGATATAAGTCTATCATTGAGAGGAATTAATATGATGATATACGGAAAGTTCCTTTTTTAATTTGCACATGCCACTTGAAAGTTCAATTTTTATATTATCTCTATTATATAAATCATAGCTGATAATATTTTTCCATTCTTTTCTACCTCTTTGCTAAATTCAGGAAAAGAAAATCAGCCAAGGAATTTTTTTCATTTATTGCTTTCCGTTACTGAAATGTTTTTTACTTACATTTAAACAACGCTTATTAAATTAAATTATTGACAAATAAACACCAATTTGATGAAATATTTTTTTCAGAATAAATATCAATTAACAATATTACCTAATTTACAAAGAAATATACAAGAGGCCTTATGGCACTGTGCTTTTCGTATTATCATTTTGTTATCTCTCCCCAACGAAGTATAAAATTACAGGGGTAATTCAACAGGTTATTAAAATGTCATATATTATTTTTTCTCAGTAGTCTGTTGCATATTCTCTAAATCACATTGTGTATTAAGGCTGCCCAGGGCATCATAGCACTTGGTTCTTCCGGTAATCGAAAGATCATTTGAATACATTTTATGGAGAAGCAACCTGAAATTCAACGATTTATAACAAATGCACAAAAGAATTAGGAGTATTCATATTTCAGATCTTTACCACTAATAAGTGTCCGCTCTGTCGATTCTTACTGATCGCCGCAGTAGTGCCAGTTCTAACTTCAATTACTCCTTCTTTACCACTGACTAGCTTGTGAGACACACTGAAATGTGAAATTAGCAAAATTTAGATAAACTGAAGCGTGCAATCAGTCGAGTAATTAGAATGTTTCTCTATTAATACAAAAATATTAATTTATAATTTATAAATTTAATTTCAGTCAACTAATTAAATTAAATGTTAATTAAATATATGACATTATGTAAAGCTAATACTTACGACTCAGTATTAACGATCTTGAGAATATTCGGATTGCTGGTAATATCAATCGCCTTTGTTAAAGCTTCTATTATATGTGGAACTTCCAAGATCAAATCGCCCTGCATCAATGAAAAGTGCATGAGGACATTGTAATTTATGTATATTTTTGTTTATATTTATTGATTTTCAAGAGCATTTTTTTTCTTATTCAATATTATCGTTTTCATTTGTAATTCAATTTACTTCAAATTAAAATTCTTTACATATTACTTTTTTTTTATTATTTAAAATAGCTGGAAAAATTTATTATAATTCCAAAGACAAACCTTATCTTTTTTTAATTCGGGTGGTATCCTGACGATGAGCAGATTATCGGATTCTCCGGTGACGACCAGCTCCTCGATAGCCTTATAAGGCAAGCGATGCTTAAGCTTAAAGGTTTTAAGCGTGTCGAGGATGTACACAGCGTTCTCCGTTAAAATGAGCACTCTTTCACGTGGCTTGTAACCGTGTCGATCATACTTGACGACTGGAGTGGCGTACTGAAATGCGCGACAAACTTCAGACTATTTGCTTTCATAAGATTAATGATATGTGCTTGAAAAAAGAAATATAATGTTATATTTTTTTCACGAAACTCCTCCCACCTTTATATGTTCTCCGGAAGACAGAATATTACTGGTAAAGCTTTGTCGCAACGCTTTGTGCTCCGCGCCGAGACGATCGGTTATGAATCTCGGGCCCAAACTCTTCGCGTACGACTTCTTTTTGCCTTTGAACAGAGACTCTGCGAGAATCTTCAACTCGAAGTGCTTCTTATCCTCTTTGCTCAACGCCAATCGGTAACGTCGAGCCTTCCATCTCTTGTACATTATACGCAAATGCTCCGACGCCTGCACACACACACACACACACATATATAATATTAAATTTACGCAAGGAAACAGAAAAACACAAATTATGTATGTGAAAAACACACGATCATATTACATTGCATTAATTTAATTGTGCAGGCGGATATTTGACTTTCCTAAGAATTTTTGCAATACACTCGTACCTCTCGACAAGAGTACGGGCACGGTGGCCAGTAATGATTTAATACACCCTGTGGCAGTGTTTTTGACAGCCTAATGAGCCACTGCGATTTCGCCAATTCGATAAATGCCATATTAATTTCGGTGGGCGGCCCCTCGCGAGTGATGAAACCTTCAATGAACCTGCAAATTGATTTAACAAATATACAATATGTCATAGAATCGTAGATATAGTGTATATTATATTATACATATAATATTTTACATTCTAAAGAAATATGAAGTATTTAAAAAGATACACTCAAAAAAATATTTCGCTGATTTAGTTAGATTTCTAGATATCGCAACAAGAATGTATCGCTATTTTTCGTATCTGTGAAAACATTGTTTGTCACATATAGAATTTATAGCAGTAATGTTCTAGCAATAGCTTCTGAAAAATTTAAGTACCATTGCTAAATGTTATTCATTGCATGATCTAACACGTGATTGATCTTATATAGATAGGCGCTTTAGAGAAACTTTCTTTTTAAAGTACACAAACAATACAGATATATATTCTGTTTCTGTCATCTAAACTGATTAAGTAATTACATATGCAATATCACAACAGTTGCTAATCATTTATCTATTTTAGTTAATTTTTTACACCTAGAAAATTTTAGCTATTATTGCAAGATCATTTTTTTGAGTGTAGGAAATATAAATTTTGCGCGTGTGCTAATTAAAAAATGAATCAAATGAACAAAGAGGAAAAATACCTGCGAATAGTAACAACCGCGCGTCGGCGCTTTTGTGCTGCGCGTTTCGCGTGCCACCTGCGAATATATTTCTGGAAAATGATCGCCGCCTCTCGCATCTTCAAGTATCTCCTCCTCGCCAATATGCACTTCCATTTGCTCTGAATAATAGCGGCTACGTCGTGTTTCTTTATTTGGAACGCATCTTCCGTGTCGAATAACGTTTTAGGAAACCGGATGAACAGTTTTGTACTGCAACAGTTGCGAAATTAAAATATTCAGCGAATTTAATTGCTTCAGAAATTATTTTGCACATCTGCGTAATCCGCTAGCAGTTTGAACAACTGTATGCCATAATTTCCAGTCAGAATATTTACAAAAAATCTAATATAATTTTATAAATTGCATAAGTATAATTTAATTTTAATGCGTAAATGTGGTCTTACTTGCCCATCCTATATTCCTCTCGCTCGTAGCCGAGGTAACACACGAGCACTTGCACGCCCTCTTTGGCCGGGCCATGATAATTCGGCCAGGTTTCCGAGCAGAGGCACTTGTAACGCTGTAAGAACTGCTCGTACGGTCTTCGGTACGCGAAACCAGCGCGCCTCACTCGCAGATTTTCCATCAGGCCCAAGTACTTCACTTGATGCAGCACAATCTTGTCGTTGAATTGATCTAAAAGTAAAAGTTTGATAGATTTTATCAAGGAATATTCGGTGATTTTGAATCCCGCTTGAAAAGATTGAAAGTTAAATTTCAATCACGGATCGATAATTGTTAATATGGATCAAATTATAAATGTAAACTATTCAATTCCAGTTTCAGATTCTACTCACTGGCCATTTTGAAATCATTGGGTTTGATGCAACGAATGTAAGACGGTTCCTTGCCCATCAGAATTTCGACCAGATTATTCAAGCTATTCTTGAATTGAGTGATGGCGGTCTCCGGGCGTTTTTTACTGGTTAAATCTTTCACGTCGAACACAGCCTGCAAACAGTTGTGCATGAGTTTATAGTGCAGAAAATATTTAAAGTAAAAAGCAACACTTCCGCAGTAAAATAAACGGATGGAAAAATCGAAAAAAGTTATCTTTATAAAATTAAATGAATTTTCAGAATTGAGAACCAGTTCAGAAATATCTGAATTTCTTTATTTCTCTCTTATGAATATTAAACTCTTACTTTTGTGATGGAATTCGTCGTGTGCGACATGATTTCACGCAAGTCTCGGAATAGCAAATCATTATTCTTCTCGAGGAATCCGCGCACATTGTACGTCACGTCACCGGCGTAATGTACCAACCTGAATTCCTGAAACATTAAGTTTATCTTTGTATTTTCAGCATTCCCGAGTTTTTTGTGCGAATCTCAAAACAGCTAGCTGTTGTACGAATAATTAATTTGTTATATTTAAATCAATAAATAAAATAATTTGACTCTAATACATTAATTGAATAATTAAGTAAATTTGCTCCCTTCTCCGATATTTCAAAGTAATTGACAAGCAATTAATACACAGAATCCTTACATCTCGTCCCATAATTTTCTGCGTTTGTATATCCGCCTTCTTGTGACTGATGTAATGTGGATGACTATTCAGATTTACATTCAATTTTTCCAAGAAACTTATGTCCGTCGGATCGCCAGGTCGCAGACACTCCTCGTCCATCAACGATATTATTCCTATTACATCAACGATTAATTCAATAAAACGATAGCAGATCGCTTAGCTTTGTACAGATTTCGATTAAAAAATTCAACCTTTATACTTCTCCTCGATCAAGTCGCAAATAATTTTATTGTTGAAATATTCTATGTTCTCCCAAGCTATCCCTTCGCGCAGATACTCTTCCTGCTCCGACTTCAGTGTCAGCTGGATGAATAGCTGTTGCAATTTCTCGTTGCAGAAATTAATGCAGAACTGTTCAAAGCTGTATCAAAGAAACAAGAACGAATTATTGCTAAATCACCAAAGACGTAAAATTACAAACAAGCACTAGTGACACTTAACTTATCAAATTTAAGCAAAAAATATGAATAACTTGCAATTTCTCGTTGCAGAGATATGAAATGTAAATTATATACGAAACAGGAAATTTGCAAAAATGTATTTCTTCTCGGACTATTATATTTGTGACATTCGCGCATAAGATTTTCATCGTAAAATCTAGAATTGTATACATAATTGACAGCTACCTGTTCTTCTCGAAGATTTCGAAACCATAAATGTCCAAAATACCCATAACCATTTTACGCCGAGGATCGCTCTGAGGCTGAAGGGACTTGTTGAGTCTAGTCACAAGCCAAGTGAATAATCTGTCGTACACAGCCTTGGCTAGCGCGTCTCTCGCGTAAATAGCTAATTCTCTATTCAAGGGTGAAACCACCACGTCACCGTGAGCGTTTATGGTGCGGTGAGTGAACGCATTTGCCAGTCGCTTCACGTCGCATCCCAACAACTATTCAATGAAATTATCAGTTGCTTAATTATTTGCGTCTGTGAGCGAATCGAGAAGTGATCGGATGACATATGAAGAATATTGCAACAGATAATTGAGGAAAATTAATAACAAAATAATTAAAAATAATAAATAATTGTAAAACAGAATAATAATTAGAAAAAAATAAAAAATTAATGATTTAAATAATATTTTATAGATTGTAGCTATTAATTTCTATTAATATTTTGACTTTAAGAATTAGCAAATTTCACGATTGCAAATCATTACCTTAGCGATAGCGTCGACGGACGCGGGTTTCAAAATTGTCGCTACGCCATCTTCTTCCGTGAAACCCACATTACCCATATGCAATACTGACGCAACTATGGCGAACAGGTCATCCTGCTCCTGCTGAGACATCTCCATTGTCTTCATTGCTCGGATGACCTCCTTGTATTGATTGGCGTCATCAATAGTATCCACCGTGCCTTTTTTCTAAAATTGAGTTAAGAATAAACGCGTGAAAAAAAAGAATTAAAAGAAATGATGCAAACAATTTTAACGAATATATCTTAACCTTCGCACGAAGAACTAGCATTGTGGCTCTTTACGCTCCTATTGATTTTAATTGATTTTTGTAATCAGTTGAGCCTTATATATTATTTATTTTAATTGAAAGAAAGTTTTGTAGAAAATAACAAAATTTTTGAAAATAAGAAACATGAGAAATATATGTATAGAATGTAAAATGCAAAATGTGGAAAAGTATAGATTGATAAAATCCAAGCGCGCTTACACCGTTGCTGAGATAAAAGAAAGTGTCGAGGTTTCTTTTCAAGAACAGCTTTCGCAGTGTATCGTCGTCCGCGCCTGCCAAAAGCTGATAAAAGATATGGAAGTTGCGCTCGCCAGGTGACTGGTGAATCACTCGAGATTTCTCCAGCAAATAATTCAGGATATTTCCACCAACTGGATCTCCCTGAAAATGTCAATCATCAATTATTGTTCCAACGATTTGGATCACTTTTGCGAAAACAGACGAACAAAAAGTATCTGAAAATATTTTTCCAAAGAGAACACTTTGCTCGATTCTTTTTTAAATATCACTATTATCTTTCGGAAGAGCTTGCGTGCTACTGAATCAAAATTTCACCTGGAAATCAAATTGAACGTCCATGTATTTGCCGAAGCGAGAGGAGTTGTCGTTGCGATTGGTCTTCGCGTTACCGAACGCTTCCAGCACGGGATTGCTGCCGATCAATTTATCATTCACCTCCTCCACCTGCTTCTTGTGGCCGGTAGCAGCCGCGATGAATTCTAAAACCTTCTTGGACGCCTCCGTTTTCCCGGATCCTGATTCGCCTGGAACGCAAAACAAGAACTTCAAAATAACTATACTAAAAAGTCAAGAAAGAGAACAAAAAAAATATATAAGTTAATAAACTCAAAAGATTGATGCAATTAATATAGCGGAAAAAACTATAATTATAATTTTTCGTTAAATTTTAACGTAAAATAAATAAACGTGACTTCACACCTGAAATCAGGATGCACTGATCGCAGTTTTCCTTCGTCAGCGATTGATAGGCAGTATCTGCGAGAGCAAAACTGAAAAAAATGCGATGTATAATTTACGAAAATGCAAGTGTTGGACTTCTACAAAGTCTTCTGAATTTCTGAATAATTCTTTTTTTCGTTGATTCGCCTCGGAACAGCAAATATAACGAGGCGCGTTGAAAATGCTTACATGTGAGGAGGCGCCTCGAAGAAGTTCCTCCTGTGATAGTACTGTATTGTCTCCGGCGTATAAATAGGCAGCTTTTTGTATGGGTTGACTGACACGAGTACCTGGCCGATGTACGTCTGCGGTGTCAAAATAAAATACATTTTTTTAATTTTACAAATAATTCAACTGTAATTCATTTGATACTTTCTTTACTTTGAAAAAGTAAGTCAAAAGTACGATCTAAAGCATTTTTATATCAGATTCATCTCATTATTTACAAGTAAAAAATTATACGCAAGATTAGAAATAAAGGAAAACATTTCTTTAAGAAAAAAGTCTCCGAATAAATCAAAACAATTGAACAAATTTTTCAAGTTTTATGAGAAATGAATTGTTTTCTACTCACATAAATAAGATCCTCCCTGAATCGTTTGCGCAGATTGTCAATAAAGGCGGATTCGCTGCGGAAGTCTTCCAGCAGGACGAAGTCCTGAACACCGGCTCGGTCGCGCTCGTGCAATCCGCGCTCCATGTTTCCGGGCAATTTCCGATCGCGGTTGAGGATTTCCAATCTCACTGCGGGCTTGCTCAAGCCACCTCCGGTGTCAACTGTCTCCGCGCTGCAAACATTCGTGAGGAAATAATGCAATAAAAATAATTCTTTTACTGCTATTAATTATTAATTTACAAAAGAAAACTTTCTCTTTGATCTTATTATATTTCTATATACCTAAAAAAAAAAACAAAAAATAATAGCTGTAGAAAATATGATTAATTTTGTGTGTACACCATTTCAAAGTGAAAAAATTATTTATTTATTCAGTATTTCTCAATTATTTAATTTCATTAATTTATTTGAAAACTGCGATATGATGAGTACACATTTGATTTCTGTATGTATTAAAATCAGAGAGTTTTGTTTTCACTGCATTGAAATTACAATTCCTTGTCCCGATTCTTTTTCCGTTCAATATTTATTTAACAAATAATATATACAAAGGCCGGTCGCCATTCTTGGCCTCGTGGCCTCGCAACCGATAAAGACTCAGATTAGATATTGGAGCGGCTCGCAATATGCAACGCTTGTAGACACCGAAGCAAATACATACACGACAATAGATCGGCCGACAAATATTTCTATACATCGAACAATGAAGCGGCATGAGAGAAAGTCGAGAAAGTAAAAATGATGTACGCATAATTTATGATAATACGAATCGTCATCGTTTCCGGTGCACAGGCGGTAAGTGTCATAAAATCTAGCGCGAAAAAGTTACTTCACGTAAATTCGCCGAGTCTGTAATTAAACGTGACATTTGAAATTTAACCAGCTCGTTCGATAAAACGCCGCGATTAATCCTGCGGTTCGATCGGTGATCTGTAAAGAACTCTCGGCCACTCACCCCATATTTCCGCTGGATCTCGCACTCGCACCTGCAATGTCCGAAAGAGAAATTCGAATCGATTAAAGTCGCTTATCAGTCGGCTCCGACCTTGGTCTAGTCCTCGCTACCTGGTCAGGATGAGCGCGAATTCGCCCGATAAGATAAACGCGAATTCGCGCACCGCAACACGTGATAGGCGACACATTACAAAATCCAGGCGGAAGATATCGGTCGCGAAAATTCAGTTCGAAAATCGGGGCGAGTGAAATGACTTATTTAATCAATTGGACGATTCGCGTCCAAAGAGATTAGCTTTTAACAACAACCCTTTCTTCTAATAGAAATATAAAAAATGCAATTCTAAGTAGAGCTGCTGTTATTGCTAAAGAACTTTGCGTGTCATGCTGCCTCGAGTGCTTATTCCTCCGAGAACTTGCGATTGACCGCAATTAACGGAGATAGCAGAAGATAACGAGATTAATCTAAAGAATCTAAAAAATAAATCTCTTCGGGAAAACGCGATTTTACTGCAAAATACGCGACATGCGCCGAAAATTATTCCCATTTTTCGTAAATTTACGATGGAAAAAATCCCAAACTCTGAAAAGAGTTTAGCTACGGCTCTGCGATGACATAATGAAAGTCAATTTCAACTCCAATAATTCACTGAAATTCTCAAGAATTAGAAATTCAATCGAATGCACCTTTTGCACGGAGCTCCGATTTCTCTTCGTCTACTAATAAATTTCAGAATACATTATCTTTTACAACAATATATACGCGCACTTAATTCTTTCGCAATAACGCACTCATTTCCTCAATTTACAATTATACTTTTTTCGCAGCAATGCGTAAAAATATCTTTACACAACAGAAAACCCCCGTATTTCGCAATAAATATACGTTCACTTTTTCTTTTCAATTCTGCCTCGCGCGACAACGCGCGTGAATTTCTCGTTCGCACAGCTGAAAGATTACGAGTCACCAGGTAGCAGACAGAGTCCACCGTCGTGTCCGACAAATGCCTGGCAAATAAATGTGCGATACACACAGCAGACTCGCTACTCTCTCGATATTTTCCTCTGGCGTTTTCGGCGTGCACGCGTTTTGCCTGCTGCGGTGAAAAAAAACTCGCCCGCTCGCTTTGACACGCTGCCAACCGACGGAGGAGTCGGAGAACCACCTGCGACTGTTGCTGAGGAACGACCCGGCTGCGATCAGCACCTTCCGTTTGTCTATCGCCCGTCGGCGACGTTTATTCCTCCACCCCCCCCCCTCCCCCTCCCGCCTTTCCCTTGTTACCCGCACGACTGATAACGGAACGCCTAATAGCAAAATGCAGCGAGAAGAAAGCCTCCGTGGCAAAACTCGCTATTATCGTAATCGCACGCGCTATGTTAAACATAAACGGCCAGCAGCTTGTCTTGCACTTTTATTTTTGAACTGCATAAGATAAACTCGGCGAAAAAATTTTCCAACATCTGATTTCTGCACGCGTAAGAGTCTTCCAGAGAAATAATTACAGATCGCGAATTTGTAACGCGCGACTTTTATCGCGAATTATTGACCTTTCGAGCGCGGAAAAATTCGCGAGCAACCGGTCTTATTAAAACGAAAAACGTAAAACAAACTTGAACTCCGATAATGTCGTGTAATGCGGAAGATCGAAGATTTGATAATAGAGATAGCTTCATGGTGTTTGCCGAAATGCAATTGCCGATTAGTCGATGGAAAATTGATTCCCGATAAGAACATGACAAAAGACAGCGTGGAGTATCTAATCTAATTTAATCTAATCTTATTTCATTCTTTCTAGAGACACACACACACACACACACACACACACACACACACACACACACACACACACACACACACACACACACACACACACACACACACACACACACACACACACACACACACACACACACACATTTAATCTATAAAAACTAATAAAAATACTCGCGATTTTTCCTTCATCGAAATCGATGTGTAAGATCCGATCACGTAATATATCTCTTGCATGCGATTGTATTATCGCAATAGAATTTACGGCGCATTGTCGCCGTAATCATTGTATTAATCTTCCAACCGATCGATTTTCAAAACGCAGTAGGAAAATCCGGGTCAACCGATCGCATTTAAAGTTGACAAAATTATCATTCGATCTCGCTGTTAATGAATTAAAATAAAATTACTGATATAACTGACAAATTATTCAAATATTTACGCGTTTCGTCTTCTATATAATATTTAAACTGACGGATATACCGTCTATAGATTAATCGCAGGTTCGTTAAATTTATTGAAAGACTAGTTAGATTCGTTCAAATAAGTTCAACAGAAAGAAACGCCGGCGACACGCTATATCCAGCCATGATCTCTAAACATGATGCATCTGACCTGAAAATGCGCGGTGAATGTGAATCTAATTAGTGTTAAGGCGCACATATGACGTGTACATGTCCAGCGTGCACAAATGGAGAAAAGGAGGGGGGGGAAAGGCCATCCCTAAGCTCTCCCTAAGCAAGAGAGAGAGAGAGAGAAAAGAGAAAACGCGATGCGTTATTAATGCTCTTCGCGGAGCGACAGGATCAATAATTAAACGACGTTTGTATCTCCGCGCGAACCGGTCTCTCTTTCATGGAAGCGAAAAGAATCGATCTGACTCATTGACACTCGGTCGTGAACCCCGGCGGGTTCGATGAGTAATTTCCCTCGCCTTGGTGAGCGCCGCGCGAAGGTATCGTGAATGCGGGCGCCAACGATCATCGCTCGTTCTCCGCTCGGCAAATCGTGGCGCGGGGAATTATCAGTCGCGCACAAAGGCGACCATTGTGCCGGCATTCGAGACGGCTGTCGAACATGTTGCGTTCTGCGAGGACAGAAGCTTCGCGTGTACGGTTCGACTCTCGCGTGATTTTTATGCCTTCTTTACGAGTTCAAAGCGAAACGTTTTGAATTGCATTTAACAAAATATGCATAACAAGCAAGTAGCCTACACTCAGAAAAATGATCTTGCAATAATAGCTAAAATTTTCTAGGTGTAAAAAATTAACTAAAACAGATAAATGATTAGCAACTGTTGTGATATTGCATATGTAATTACTTAATCAGTTTAGATGACAGAAACAGAATATATATCTGTATTGTTTGTGAACTTTAAAAAGAAAGTTTCTCTAAAGCGCCTATCTATATAAGATCAATCACGTGTTAGATCATGCAATGAATAACATTTAGCAATGGTACCTAAATTTTTCAGAAGCTATTGCTGGAACATTACTGCTATAAATTCTATATGTGACAAACAATGTTTTCACAGATACGAAAAATAGCGATACATTCTTGTTGCGATATCTAGAAATCTAACTACATCAGCAAAATATTTTTTTGAGTGTAGATAAGACACGTCGCGACTTGTCGCATCTCCTTTTGTGCCTCGTCTACACGCTGTCTTTAAGAATCTATCCTTAAGATAGTACGCTGAAGTAAACTGCACTTGAAACGACTATTCAGCTACACGCTGTATTTAAAGATCGATAGTTTGTTTCGTTTCGCGCAATACATAACCTCTAAAAGTATTTTTTTTAGAATTTGAGCCTGTCAAAAATTAATTGTTTCCTAATTCCTAATGAACTAGCAATGGATATAAATATATAATATGGCGCTACAATTATATAATAAGTGGTTAAAAGATAAAAAAATAAATCGATATAAATCAGAAATCGATATAAATCGATATTTTCTAATATATGATGTTGAACTGGGATTCCTAACATCTTGAAGATAGTTTCACTTCAAGATAGTTTGACACAGCTACACGCGCAACTTAACATCAGATCTCTTCAACACACTATCTTAAAGACAGCGTGTAGACGGGGCAAAAGACTTTACGAGCGAGGTCGATTTTTTTTTCCCTCAGCGAAAATATCGAATCGGCCGTTTAGAGCTTGCGATTAGCGCGAGCGTGACGTCGTTTATTTGGTTAACTTGGAGGAATCGATCGTGTGCGAGCTTCCACGCGAGCCGAGCACTCTGTGTGCGCGTTGGCGTGAAACGGAAAGTCGTCCCGTTGCATTTTTCTGCACCCGCCGCGCAGAATCGGGGACGCTGACGTAACGCGTCGTCCCGCGATGAGTCAAAGCGAGGGAGGAAAAAGGGGGCCTCACGGAGACGCACGGTGAATAAAAAAATACAAAGATGTCTTAGCGCGCATCACGCCGAAAATATTT